TTGCAAGAATAGGTAGAGGGGTTTTGGTCGCTTTGCTTTCGACGATCTTGGTCCACAGACGTTTAGGTCTGAAACGGCTTTCAGGCCATTTTCTGATTCAGTTTTGAAAACTGAACTAGAATATGGCAGTTTGAACAGTCCAAGTTGGCACGAAACTTGGAAAAGTCTTTGTAAGAAGCTTAAGTTCTCTAAGGAAATATAACCAACCCTTGTCCATCTACGGGACAACTATCAAAGAAGTACAGATCAAAAACCAACTAGGCCTTATACTTACATCGAATTTGTTATGGGATGCTCACATAAGTGATGTAATTGGGAGAGTGAGTCATATTCATCACTATATGAGGCTGCTAAAATGGGATTTAGGTAGACAGGTACTAGACATAGTTTATAAATTCCTCATATTATCCACCGTAAGTTATGGCAGCGAAATATACTCGTTAACAACCAAAAACAATCTAAATAAATTGCTTTCACTTCAATATCAAATAGTCATTACTACTAGCGAAGCAATGGAAGGTTCTGATAAAGTCAAGGTATTGGGCGAACTGGTTCTCGATTAGAGATCTATGTCAATCGAATGTCTATGCTTTTCAAAATACATAATGGTTTTGTAAAAATCCACGAACAGCACCATGTGCGTTCAGTTAAGCCTGCGTCACATCACCATTATCTTCGAAGAAACATCACAGAGGAGCTATACGATTATAAGGGGAAAAGTGCTATGTTTCAGTCAACGTTCCTTCCCTCAGCAATTCGTGCTTGGAATGCACACCTAGTGAAAAATCCAAATATATGCTCAAGACGGAGACCTGTCTTATTCCGAAAAGAATTAGGACTGAGCATAAGTGGACACATAAACAGAATGCCATCTTCGTCAAACAGACGTCTTGATGCTTTGTACTTCCTCTTAAGAGTCAATTTTCCAGCGTTAAATTATTACCTTCATCAACGCAAATGTGTACCTAGTTTCCTATGTGAGTCGTTTCTGACGCTTTCACCATCCATTATAGTACAAGAAAATCTTAAACACTTTTTCTTTCAGTGTCCCGCATATAGAAACGAGAGAGATATGCTATTAGTTTCTGTCAAATTGCTTAAAATGGAGCCCAATCTAGATACAATGCTTTTTCATGGACTCACCGATAGTGTTTCTGTCTCAGCAGTCTATAACTTAGTGAGTTCTTTCATCCAGCAAACAAAAGGTTTGCATAAGGTTATCCTAAATTTTTCCTCTATTAGCGTTCCATACTCTTCCTAAAGTTGAATTTTTTCTTTTCCTAATGCTCTCACTCTCGTCACCATCCTGCTTTTTCCCTGATGCAACACAACGTTTCTTTTTTATCTTGCTTTTCCTCTTGATTCCTCACATTTTTATGCTTTACTTTCTAGCATGCTTAGAAAAACTTTGATTTCTATTTTCTCCTTCTAGTGCTTTTTCTTGAACATCGTAATGGGGCCTGGCCCCGGTTTCGTTCTCTAGTTATATTTTACAAATAAAGGTTATAACAATGGGAATGGATATTCTCTAATTAATGTAATTTTAGTTCGCGGAACTAAATTTACAGTGAGCACTCTCCTCCTTGAATATATAAGAGATGAACATTTGATAAAAATATAAAATCTGTTCTTTTCTTATTTTATTCCCTTAACGTTAGTCAGGGTCATATAAACTAAAGTGTTTGTATGTCCACACGAAGAAATCAAAAACTTAAAAACTCTCTCAGAAACGGTGTAGATAGCTGTAACTTGGGGACTATAGGCAATCCAGCATGGAGAATCTATTGGTAACATCGTAGGATCTCCGGAAGGTCTTTAGAAGGTTTTGGAAAATATTTGGTTTTCTGCCGATTTTTAGCTACAGTTTGTACCAATGTGATGAAAAAGCACAATAGCTATTATAATAGTAATTAGGATTTATCTCATCAAAAAGCATCTGAGAGACCAAACAGTGTTCAGACTTTAATTCGGAACTTAATGGAATTTTTGCTAATTGGCATTTTTCACTGTGAAGGAAGCATCTGGCAAGTTTAGATCCGCTAGAAAAAATGTCAAAAATTAAATTTTGCATACTTTATCTGCGAGCACCACCTTCGTACGATGTGATCTTCGATGAACGACTGTTGGATTTCCTTTATTCCCTTGACGTTAGTCAGAGTCATATAAACTAAAATGTTTGTATGCCCACACGAAGAAATAAAAAACTTAAAAAAGTTTTGAGAGAAACGGTGTAGATGGCTGTAACTTGGGGAATTAATTTAATAATTTAACAACTTAATTAATTAACACGAAAGGCACTCAGAAATTTAGAAATATTTCTGAGTGCCTTTCACTTTCTGAAGTCTTTGAAGTCGTATAGAAGTGGCTAGTCTACAGGCTAGGATTCTTGAAGACTACTGGACTTGTAGGTCAAGCGGGCATCTTTAAGGGCCTGCGGGACCAGGAATTAAAATAAATGTAACAAGGAAAACCAGTGAGAAAACGCCTAATACCCATGATCACTAGTTAATTTGTCGTTTTTTTCACGCGTGTTCTCGAGTGAAACATATAAGGATGATTACGTGAGCAAAAGTGTTTCGATACGAAAACACGCGTCAACAAAACGACAAATTAACTGGTGTTCACGAAAGACATTTTTTTATTCGATATAGCGGTTTTCAGTCAGTTATTCAACTTTTGCTTGATCTGAAAACAGACGCAGTCACGAGAATTAACATGATCGATAAACCTATGTTTGAGATTATTTCTGAGGTTATAAAACACGCGTGGACAAAGTTTAATAAGTCCCGATATAAACTATCTTGTCCGAGAACCACAGTAGCTGGCGAACTTGGACCTGCGTAGTTTTGAATATATGCAGTCTTTGTATTATTGGTAACAGTTACAGTATTGTGCTATCTGTAATTAAGAGATCGCTCGCTTCTCATAAATAATTCCGATTGATCTAGAGCATTCACTTTTTTCCTCGTCACAGTGTGCAAGCAGGAGTTTGATCATTAAAAGTCTACAGGCTCCCTACAGATTCTTTGACACGAAGGCCGATGAAAGGTCCATCTGCATGCATTATACTTTGCATATAGCGTAAGAGCTCTGCTAATTGTAATCTTTTTATTAATTTTCTAGTTGCAAAAAGTATTCTTTCTCATACTGAATTCGATGCAAGAAAGTTGTTCCATTAGAAAAACATCTTTATAAAAAAAATATTACATCTGCTCAAGCAAAATGTTGATTATTGATATCCAGTGATTTTATTCGTAGTTATAAATAAATTTGTCACCTGTTCACCTTAATTAATTTGATTACCTAGTCAGTTTATCAAATTCTTTTGCATAACCTAATAGGAATAATTGTATCCACAAGGATGGATAAAAAAAAAGGAATTATAATTGTTGATGTTAACTGTGTCTGTATTCATTAATTCCAATGTAACAATGTATTTTGTAATCCACACATAAACTGAAATACCGCCATACTATTTACTTTTTCTGGATAAACATGTTTAAAAATTGTCAGAACTCAAGCACATAATTTCGGTCAAATAAAGAGTATTGCAAGAGAGAAGAGAATGTATAATATTATAAAAAGTCATTTTGACTAAAAACAGGTGTGAGATATTATTTGACAGACAAAATGCATTGTCTGTTCAAAACGCTCGGCTATCGCAGGAGAATATTCATAAACTATATAAAAGTCTAAATATTCAAACAAATAATTATTAAGTGAAATATGTTGGACTAACGACAGATGTATGTTCAAGTCTCATTTATAGTATACTGTGAATTACTTGGCTCTCATTTGTTTAGGATAAGTCTTCTCATCGTCACCGCCATCTTTCTAAGACTGGAGACGAAATGCGGTATTTCAACTATGATCCACCAACAAAATCTATTCGACAGATTGATGTTATTGACACTGTCCGTGTTCAAGATATCATCACACAAGTTAAGCATGACTTTCACTTAACGTCACAGGCTCTGGACAATCTGAAACATCGATCGTTCTGAACTGCAATGTGAGTGATTTATAACCAAAATGGACTGTAGGTGATTTAGGAATACTTTCAGGTGTAACTATTCGGTGTCTTTACCGCGAGCACAAAGCAGCTGATCTTTATGTCTATTGCGTATTTAATCTACAAATAGTAAAACTTTTAATTCAACAACCGGATTGGAGACAACGATGGGCACGATTCAAAAGTAATTATCCGATACACTTGGCCTACCACTGAGTACATTTTGCTTGGAAAATCGAGATGACCGTGTGCGATCATCGATTTCATATGATTACGATCATATGAAATTGGCTAATTACGATATTAAACTAAACGGACGAATGTGTTTTAAAGTTTGGAAAGGATTTGTACAAAACGAGACATTCAACAGCTCTAAGTACCTTTTTTATAACTAATTCCGAACGACTTTGCTGAATGCCCTAACATCGATTATTAATTGGTGCATGCCGATTCTGAACTATCAACTGTATTTCATCAACTGACGTTCTGAAAAATACTTAATAAAAATATAAAAATATATCTGTAAAATATTATAGCGTGAGATGTCGCTATATTACAGTCAGTAGAAGTAGGCAGATACACCACTAATCATCTTAAAAAGCTTCTGATGAGGTGAGGGTGAGGGTCTATAAAATCTAGATCAGTTCTTCATACTGAATCGAAAATATCTTAAAAATACTATGTCAAATATGATTAACAATCAAACATCTGAACCACCGACTGTCAGCGAAATTTCGATGCAGAAAACTTTAGAGAGAAAATCTTTAGATTCTGCTACACTTTCTCACACCACTCACTGCGAAATGACGATGACTACGCGGCGAATCATTATCGTTATTGCCCTTTTGAGGTATGCTGTTGTTCTGCCTCTAATAGATCTTATTGCCCCTAATAGCTAAGTTCTCAAGTTCTTGATTTTATTTAATAACTTCAAAATTTAGCAAAAAAATCCTACAAAAAAATGAAGAAAAAAGCACATACCTTCCACCTATGAACATGTCCAATATAACCAAAATGTTTTCAGTTTTCCAATACAACTATCGCCGATAACACTATCTTCAACGGCAAAATTACAACATAATGAAGTATATAAAGGTCTTATTATGATTGATTTATCTATAGCCGCAGATCCGTTGCTCGCCGTAGAGGCAGAACGACTACGATTTGCATCATTTATACCAAAAATTGCAGCTACAACATATATTGTTTTGCCTGTGGCACAGCATTCTGAAATAACATCATGTTCAAGACCATAATATGTATTGTAATATCCACCACCTGTGCAGTAGAAGAGAAGCACACTCAATTCTTATTGTTTTTGTAAAAATTAATTACAGTGCTCGTATGTCTAACTAGATTTATAGTCATACATCTGTACGACTTACCGCTTTTTACTCATCTCATGAAGTTGTCACTGCTGGGCGAGGGAGGGTGGAAACAAAATGTAACTCTTCACCTTGAAGTAATAAATGTATTTTTTACGTAATTTAGATGTCTACTTTGCTTTTTATTGCCATATTTACGATAATGGGAACTGATATTAGTATAAAGATAATACTGAGAAATCAGATGAAATCAGGTAAAGAACGAATTGTGCATTCAGGCGTTACATTTATATTAAAAGACAGATATCGATGAGTGGAACGGCTGCAAAGTTTCGCTATGTTGCAGTAACCACCTGAAGAAGTACCAGTCAGATCTAAAAGATCATTAACTTTAATATTTGGTATTATATTACATGTGAAAGAGGAAACAAATGAACAAAAATGATGATGAGGTGCATTGTTAGAGTTGTATAATGTGGTATCTACCTTGTTATCGTCTGCGATGGTTTACAAATTCATTTTTTCTGACTACAAAATTTTCCTATATATATACCGTCATAGCTCACATAAAACTATGAATTCTTCCGGTACATCAGTATTTGCAATTCAATTTTATATTCAAACAGGTAAGAGAATTGTTACATGTGCTGTTAGTAATATGGTGTAGAAACATAATATCCAATATAGTGTGCAAAGAAAGACTATGTGCAGTAGAGTGCTAAGACAATTTACAATAAATTCCACGTTTCAAAACACAATATAAATTTTTTCAGAAATTATTGTCTATTATTCCACGTTCGTTTTTTAGTGTCATGTGTAATTGGATTTTTTAATTTTTAACTTTTTATCATTGTCATATCTAATGATTGAGATTGGTATTGTGGGGGATTCAATGATAAATTTATTACACTATCATTGTTTTTAAATAAAATGGCATTTCCAAATATTTCGTTTTGTTTCTGATGTATTTTATAACGACAGTAACATGTCACTGTTTCTCCTATCAGCCCTACTATCATCCCTGTGAGAAATGCTATTGTTTTTGTATGCGTTTTAATTATTATGTTCTGCGCTCCTTGAAACTGCACTACGGGTTATCAGCCAATCCTGAGCTGTTCATTGGCTTTAGTCTTAAAATTTCAGACATGTTAAGGCTTCGAATGGCATCAAATTCTAAGGCGTACCCTTGCCTGGCTTTTAAGATGTAAGTGCCGTTTTCCTGACATTTATCATCTGAATGTTATTGTTCGCGCACACAAGGCTTTCTCCACATCAACTGAACAAAATCTTTGCTAACAAAGAAAATGAAGATTCTGATTATTGCGTAAGTTAACCATTTTAGAAATTCTTGAAACATCTTGACAAGATCTGCTCAAGATTTATCACGACAGATTCTGATGGAAAACATGTGAAAATCTGCAGCACTGCTTTTCAGTCAGAATCTTGAAAGATTTCGATAAATTTGCACAAGTTCATGAAACATTTTGGGCTTGAGAAACTTGAGAAATCTTTAAAGATTTATTAACAGCTACAGTCAAGATTTTTCTCCTGAAAAAACTAGTACTAACAACTAATCGTGCACCGTTTTGTTTTGTGGTCAGCCGAGTATATAAGCGCAATCGAAATATCGAAGAAATACCGGTTATTTTCTTTTTCACTTTTAGATGATCAGTTTTTAAATTTCGTTTCTTTTAGACTTCCAGTCTTGTCTAGAGTAAGTTTTACTAGGCAGTCAAGCCTCGCCTTGGGCTTAACCAAAATTTTCTCGCAGACCAAGTCTGAGTAGCCGCCCTAGGTAGGTCATAGTTCCCGCTTAAACATAATACTACAAAATGTAAATGAAATTTTTAAGCTGACAATGGCGCCCTCGCTCGAAAGTGATAGTCTGACATGGGAAGTAGCACTGTTTAGCCTCACTCATATGCTTCCTACTGATATCTGACTGTAAGCGTTTCTAGCAAAACTGTACCAGCCAGACAGAAATCGCGTATTAGTACAACCATTATTATTTATCAAAAATGCCTGTTTACTAATCAAAAAGTAAAAATACTCATGATAGTACTAAAAAAACTGTCGTATTTAGTTATTCTCTCTTTTCCGTTCTCAATTTCTAACTTAAAAATAGTTTCTTTTGCTTGCTGCACACAGGATTTGGATGGTACCTTTCGATAATTACTTGATTTTTGCTATAGCACACGGTTTTTTAATTTTTTCCACGAATACTTTGTAAAAAAATGATGGTTTTGTCGAAATATGTAAATCAAAAGATGGTTCACTTGAGCTTCTATGGGAAAAAATCAAAACAATGTCGTTATAGATACTTGGGAGTTTTATCTGGTGAGACTGTTTCTGACATAAATTAGCGAAAACTAAACTCAACTTTTATCGGAAGAAGCTAAACGATAGCCCAGAACGTGAAAATCATTCTAATAAGAATCCATTAAAGATCAGCGGCCTTCATCTCTTAAAAGAGCCAATTAAGCTGCGAAAACTACGCGTTCATACAAAATGCCCACCCGATTTTCAATTTTTGTTTTGCTTATATCTCGATTAATAAGTATTAGACCTTGTTCAGCTGACGTTTTACTGTTTTTTCTACATGTCATTTGTAGTTTATGTCCAAAATTTCAGCTTAAAATCTTGAGTAGTTTCTGGAAAAACCTATTTTTACTGCAAGAATGTTTGACGAGATTGAACTTGAAGTTTGTTAACAAATGCACTGAACCTAACTTTATCATACAACATTCGATAGACCTTGACAAGACATCTGATTGTGTAAGTGTCATACAATCACCTAAACATTAATATAATAAATCTGAAAAATGCTAAATTGCATATTATTCCTAAATCTGACCTTAAATAAACTCAAACTCGAATTGAAATGTATCGAAACACGAAACTCATCTAGTAGCAACGGTGATAATAGGTGAAATTTTTGGAAATTTGATTTCTATGTTCGAAGGTGTTTGTTATACAAGCCTATAGTCACGCCTGTGCTACGCCACTTAGACTCTTTGCCGCTAACTTCCATTTTTGATCCGGTCAAAAATTTTGAGAATCTTGTGGTCATTCGAACGTGGCCATGGTGGACGAGTGTTTACCTCTGAACTGGGTCTAACACCATTTTCTAATTCAGGTTTCGATGCTGAATCAGAAAAAACTAGTTTGAACATTTCATCTTGTAACATAAGTCGAAAAAGTTAATTTTAATGAAGACAAAGGATTTTTCGACTTTCGACATCCTTTGAGCTTTTCGAGTTTTCAACATGAAAAGCATTTGGAAAAATTAGAAACCACATATTCGGTTTCGGCTCGAAGAGCTCTGTTGGATGGTGTATCTTAAGTTCAAAAACAAATTGCACTCGAATTTTAGATTAGCTGCACCTTACATTTCTTTAAACTCAAGGTCATTAACAAAAACTTAGAAGTTTTTAGTTTTTACTTATCGCTTCCGTTCTCTTTTCGCATCTGCTAATATTCACACTGTGTGTACTTTCTCTCTTCATCGCTTGCATTTCAGTTTTCTTTTACATCATTCTTTTAAACGTCGTTGTAACTCTTCTTCTCGTAAACATGCGTTGCTTCACAATCTTCACCGTTGTTGCCTGTATCGTCTTACTTATCCTTAGTTTAACAACAGCATTCTCTCATGATCGTACGCGTCGTGGTCCAGTAGATTTAAGTGGTTTCACAGGAAGTGGAATTTGTATCTTTTGGCCATGTCCAGTACAACCATTTGTATTTCCGGAGATTGATTGGGATGCAGTACATGCAAGTATTGCTCAATGGAATAAAGAACGGGAACAACAGTTATCGCAAACAGAAGTTTGAATGGACCAGCTGAATCAAATTTTGAAGTACTGTTTCTTGTCGCTTTCTTTAAGTTAATAAAAGAAAAGGGAAAATACTGTTCGATCTTGGTTTGCAATTTTTTCAACTGAGGATAAAGAAAAAAGGTTAACTCAGCTCAATAATACTCAAGCTACCGTGCAGGCTCGTAGTCAGAGAGGGTACCCGTTATGCCTGAGCACACCCATAAGTAAAAATTACTATTTAACAGCTAGGAATCAGAACCGGTACAATCAAAAAACAAAATGCAAGAAAACCGGTATATCGATTTACATCTATAGTGTACCCTCCCTTAGCGAAATCCTGGCTACGGACCTGCTACCGTCTGAAGCAAAAAATAAAAACTAAGAATCCTTTTTCAGTGTAGACTCAGTGAATGTCTAGCTGCCTTCTACAGAGTACGGTTTATCATGCACAGTTCCTGAGTTAACAAACTTTAAAACATATTAATGATTCACAAAAAGTTCGGCTTTTGAATGTCTATGGGTCACCAACATATTAAATGTAAAAAGCTCTTATTTTGTTTCTGTTTCATGCGTGACAAATGATAGGAGAAAAATGCATTCTCATGGTCGGTACTACCGTGTTGAACATGATAATGCATTATAATGCAGGTTTTCAGTCGAATTCGGGTCGACACACATCATTCGAGTTTCCTAAGTAAAACTTCCAGTTTTTCGAATCAGACATACTTACCACTGTAATACCTCCCGGATTAAAATCATTTTTGTCGTTTTTTGATAGACGATTTGGAAACACGATTAAGGGTACTGATTTAATCGTACCACTTAGATTGAGTTTAAATGATAAAATACATAAAGACTCTTTAACTAATAAACGATATTCAATACTATCTCGATCCAGTATACGCCAGTTGTCCCAGTCTATTTTGTTAAGAGATTCATCTACCTCGTTTGCGCTAAAAAGAGTCAATCATAACCACTCGATTCATATTTAAATATATCTAGAAAACCCACATAAATTTTCAAGAAATTTTTGCACTAGTGAGTAAATAATTACCGTCTTTACCAACGTTGTCAGTATCGGATTTATTCAGTTAAAAATGGATAAGAAATAGTGACTTTATGAAAATTTCGTGCACTGACTCTTTTTAGCCCACAGTACTGTATATCCTGAACATACTTGAACATTACTCGTGACACAAGTGTATATATGAACGAAATATCCGTCCGTCCACAGTAGAGTAGTGACACCTGCTTTAAACTACAGTAAATTAGCGACATATTCATATTCGAGGAGAAAAAACACGTAATTACAATTTTTCTCGGCAGGAAGACATCGTAAATGTGTGTACCTGAAATTAAATTTCACACATCTTGTCTGTTGACACCAACTTTCTACGTTGCGATCTTGAATGAACGACGTCATATTTTCGGCTTTTCCATGTTTAACCCATAGGGATTTCTGTTTTTTTGGCAATTTGATCCAATGAAATGGCGATGTTGTTTTCTTTGAGGGTTATGTGTGTTTGCTGGCATTAGTTGCTTGAGTCTTTGGTGGAGTTTTTGGCGTTGCTGCTTCTTTAGTTGGTTTTTTGTTTCGGGTGGATGCGTGCTTGCGACACCTGGCGTGAGCCGTACGTACGTTTTTCCTGATATTTTTCGCAGCAACATGTGTTTTCTTTTGTCCCGTTGTTATATCGAGGAGTATGATGCACATGTGCTATTGCTCGGTTGCATATTTCTCGCTTTCTTGTGCATGAGAGTTTTGGTGAGGCTACGTCATCTCTGCTTTTGATGGTTGTCTTTGGTAGTACCCTGGTGAAATTACTCATACTATGAGCACGACTCTGCATATAATTTGTCCATGGGTACTCATATAAGTTCTACTAACAATTTTTGAGCATTTTTACTTAGTGAGTGATCAGTTACTATCTGAGTACTCAGACATTATTCATTCACCATTTTGTTTTGCAAAAATGAACTGCGTGAAGAAAGCAGAATTTAGTAGAAATATAGAATATTTATACGATATTTTTCTCGCTGGTCTCTGTGTATATAGTCAGAGATAGACTCGTCTGTGAATAGAGTCGTAGTCCAACCCTGGCTGCCTGAGACCACTCCTCTATATGAAAATACCAGATGAGCAGTACTCGTGAGTATTTTGCCAAAAGTTATATGCGTACTCAACAATACTCTAGCATGAGTACTCAAAGTCGTCCCCACAATACTCATTACTCGCTCTTGAGCACTCATGTGAGTACTCAATGGTTACTCAAAATGTATGAGTACTCGTCCGGTTTTTTTAGCAGAGTACTTTTTGAGTACTCACGCATGAGTACATTCACTAGGGTAGTTTTGATTACAGGGTCTTTATTCTACGTTTTCCAGATACTGACTTATTTATTGTTTGTTTTCAAGGTTTTATCAGAGTAAGTCGTTCTGCGGTGCGTAAGGAAAGAAGAAGTGCAGAAACTAGTGCCAATCATTTTTTGGGTGTCGTTGATCAGAATGATTATTTTCAACTCCTATTCTCGGTTCGTAGCTTTTCTGACTGGCTCGTTTCTGCTAATTTTGAGAACTATTTGTTTTTTGAAATGCCAGAGTTAGCTTTTTATACTTCCTGGTGAAGAACTAGAGAGATGTCGTTTTGCACTTTCAAACTCTTTGAAGGCAGGTGTCGACCGGAGTTGACCTCAGGAGACGAGGGCGGGAGTCGACAAAAGTCGACATCTAGGGGTAAAGGACTAGAGCTATTGCTGTGCGTCGACAGAAGTAGAATAAATGACAATAGCTAATCGTATTCGCTAGAGGCAGCACTGAGCACTTATTAATTTATGTTTGTCGGCATGTTTTTTTGTTTTTATCTATGTTGACCTACTTTAGTCCATGTCCTATGTATCGTTTATAGATCAAGTGTTTTGCTGCTTTATTGAATTTTTTAACTTGATTCCATATATAAATTTTGACAAGCAAGCGAGATGTTAATGATAGGACTTTTATCATTGACTGTAGTTAAATTCATGTCTTCTTTATTCTTATTTTTATTTTTATTTATTTTAATCTGAGCTTTCGGATCACCGATTGATCATCAGAGTTAAAAATATTAAAATTTTAAATTGATGAAATTGATAAAAGTAAAAATGTTAAAATTCCTTTTTCAAATCTACTGTTTGGACGAACTATAAAATGTATATATACGTGTACGGGATAACCTGTACAACAGAACTCGGCTTGGTCAAATATCACCGAATTTCATTTTTTCGCCGTACTTTCCTTCTAACTTTTGAACTGATGAACCAGGCGCTTTGAAACTTTTACCATAGATTGATAGTCACGTGTTCTATCATCAGTAAAAATTTGAGAACATTTGGAAATATATAAAAAACATCATTAGCTTTGAATCACTACTCAAAAAAAATCAAAAAAAGCTCATCACTAGCTTTGAAAAAACTAACCTGATACGTATCATTAACCAGACACATTCAATTTTTTAAAACAACAACTTTCGTTTTTGGCTCAATTTCTTGCCGGTTGGAAGATTTTCGACAACTCATTTAGAAGTAAAATACACTTCTTTAGATACAGAATTAGACACTGGTTACGAATCTGATGTTTATTTTGCACTTACTGTTCGACCAGTATCGGTTTCCGACCATGTATTTTATATATTTCCAAATGTGATAGAACACGTGACTATCAATCTATGGTAAAAGTTTCAAAGCGCCTGGTTCATCAGTTCAAAAGTTAGAAGGAAAGTACGGCGAAAA